TCTATTAGCCATACTTCAGCAACTTCTCCTCTAGATGAAGAACGATCACATGAATTATCTTTAAACATTGAAGATGTAACTTTCCGAGGTAATTATGGTAATCTTAATAATATGGAAAATACTACTTCGCAATCTACATGTGTAATTTCCTAAAGCAATGTCTCCTCAAGATTTAGATGTATCTTATGTTATATATTCTAGCATTGATAAATAGGTATAAAGTTTTTCCAGAAATTTTCAGCTTTTTATGGAATATGGTTAAACAAGGCCACGTGAGAAAAAAATTTGTTAGATTCACTTTTTGGTACTAACAATTTTCATAAAATAATGTAAGAAATATAACAAGCATTAAACCCCAAAATTTAGGCAGTAAATTATACATACACTACATAAAAAATCAAATAACTTTCATTATGATTGATTGATTATTGTATGATATTTATGTATACAATATCTTCAAAAATTTTAACGTGTAAGGAAAGATGTTGCAGGATTAATATTTCTCATTTTATAAGCATTTCTATATCTGTAAATATGTTATTAATGTCATAGAAAAGAGAATTACTGAAATATTTTTAGGGACGTTCTAGTAATACTTAATGAGAATACAGTTTGGAGATATTACAAAATATGACTGATACTATTTCTTCCTTTCTTCGTAGACAATATACAGAAATAATGAACATTTATATGAATGCAATTGATGTTAGTAGATTGTAGATTTAAATATGAAAAAAGTGGAAACAATAGATTCTAATATTTTGTATATTGCAACATCACACAGACTGAATTGTGACTGTATTGTGAGGAAATAATTTGCATTGTGTCGGTATGTATTAAGAAAACTAAAATCTGATACTGATAAAATATAATTTCATTTGATTGGTAGTTGATGAAATAACATGACCGTCCTGTCATCAATCCAAATTCTTTTCACATACTTAGAAAATCGAATTTTATATCATTAAATTAATAATACAAATAATCATGTGAACCTAATGTCAATAATAGAATGATTGATATTGATTATAGATATTATTGATTCTCTATTATTAAAATGTAAAGTGTTGAAGGATAGTTGGGAAAATAATTATTATTTTATGAATTGTATATTAATCATATATAGTATAAACTTCTTAATTTACAATATATTTAACTTTCGATATTTACATTACAAAAAAATTATAAATTATATAATTTTGTTAGTTACTAATAATAAGAAAAAATTACCAATTTGTTTAAAAAGAACAGTAATAATCGTAAAATAAATTGTAAAGAAGGAAACTAATGCATTTAAGTTGTATAAAAATGTTTCGAAATTACAATTTTTAATATTTAATTTTAAGACAAATGTTTGATTGTAAAAACTACATTAGTATATTTTGTTAAGAAAGTAGGAGTAAATTAAGATACAGAAATATTACCTAATATTTTATTTATACAGAATACATAAGAAATATTTATACTACATGTAAATAATATATTCTAAATTTATTAATTTTTTAATCTAACTTATATTTGTTAAATTTCATTTTTGTCTCGAGAAATTATTGATTCTATGTATTAGAATTTCTAACTACTAACATCCAAAAAAATAGCTTACTGTAGACACTCAAAAAACAATAATCAAAATTATTTATAGGTATTTATAACGGATGTAAGTTTAATATGTTGATGTGGTTAACTGATAAAAAAAACTTATATCTGAGTATGAACAACGATAGATTCACTGTTTCACAGTTTTTACATATATAAAGATATTTATTACTATTCTTTCATATGCAAAACCAAATACATTTAGTTAATTAAGTGAAGTGTACAAGTCTTTTTGAATTAGGTATTAGTTAGTCATAAAATGTAATTTCTAAGAATTTAGGAATGGACATTTACCACTTCTTTGTGTTAAAATTACACAAAAAAATTCGTAGAAAAAACTGTGAAACATTACTAGTAACTTGTTTATATATATACATATTGTAATATAGATATTCAGAAATATATATTTTCCCATAAGTCATGTGGTATTTTTCTAATTTTCCAATATAATATGTAATTTTTTACTTTTTCCAGTAATTATAAATAGTTAACATGAAATATATATAGCATATATGTATAATTTTTAAGAATATATGTATCATGTATAATAATATACAAAAACGTTATATTATTTAAACTTATTTCACATATAAAATAAGTGAGTTCAAACACAAGGAATAATTAAATTTTTTTATTCTCTTAATTATACATTATACATTATGGCAATAGTATCTATCATTCATTAAATATAATAATACATTTCAACATCTTTAATATCTAGGTATTTATAATAACATGGCGAGTAATATAAAAACAAGTTTTTTAATTAAAATTCAATGGTAAAATGGAATGATAAATAATAACGTATGTTAGTAGAAAATATGTAAAAAATATCAAGAAGTTTCATAAAAATATAAGTCCAAATATAACTTTTTTGTTCTACATTAGTTTAAAGGTATACATAGATGTAATGCATTAAATTCATTTGAGCTTTAATAACATATTGTTCATATTAATTCAATATTAATTTATTATAAATTGACTATTGTAGATATATTTATTTAATTACTAGTAGTCTTTTAAATATAAAAAGAATTTACATTTCACAAAATTGATATGGGAACAATTCCATTTTGATAAAAAAGTACAAATATGAATAAAATATTCATAACTTATAAAATCCTCCATTTAAGTACATTCTTGTAAAATCGTTTAAAAGAATTTATATGCTAGATATTTATGTTAATATTTTCTGCATTTACATATCTTAGTCATTCGAGTGTCAGCGTAATTTATGGCTTCTCGTTATTAAAGGAAATAATTAAATAATTAAAGGAAATGAGATTCTTACACTCTTGGTGTTGTCTAAAGCAGAACACGTATCCGTAATCGTTTACCTTACACACGAAAAATTGGGTTACAAATACCGTTTTGAAAATATATAATTGTAACGTAGCTTATAATAATATTCAGTATTACTATTGCATCGTAGGAACATAATTTGGATTATACGGTGCTGGTTTCTCATAAACAACGTCAGAATATAGTGGTGGTTGTGACATTCCTGAAATAAATAATTTGAACATGATTATATTAATAATAATAATGATAGGTAAATTTACATATTTATAATATTAATATTTAATTATGAATATAATAGAGATAAAAGATTATTCGCTTCATCATATTTAATTATTACTTCTTATCTTCTCAAATTATTATTGAAATATCGATTAAGATTTTGTCGAATATATTTTACATATATAGTAATCACCTGTTGCATTTATGGGATACGGAGGGTTTGCAACGTTCGGGGGGATTTGTGACGTGGGTGGTTGAATCACATGTACCATGCTAGGTAATTGTACTCCTGGAACAAATACTCTCATAAAGTGTAGTTAACTTAAGGATATACTTTATTTATAGAGACAGTAGACGAATATTTGAATGCATATTATTCACATTTTCGGGGATTTGTATTTGATAAATTTCGTCGTATATTAGCCGATTTAATAATTTATAAATTATTTAAAAGAACAATATATTTAGAAAAATCTTCATTTTATATTTTTCATTTACTTTTTCGTATAAAATCATCCCTTGATCGATTATACTGCTCGTTACTCTATATAACAAAATTTAAATGCAATTGTATTTATTGCATAATAATAAAATTATACATTATTTTATATTAAATGATATTTTATTCCACAAATATTCTACAAATTATACATTTTAAAACAATAATGCAATTTTAAAAACTTTAAAAGACAGGAAAAATATAAAAAATATCGAATTATATTATTTATTTTTAAAAATTATGTTTTGTCTAAAACACATTTTATGGAACACCATTTAAAAATATGTTAATATTTGTTTGTTTTTTTTTTCTTTTTTTTAATTTTTACATAATCGCTAGGCAGTAGACGATTTATGAAACCTATATTTTACAATACATACCTTAATAACACTGTAACTTTAAAATATTATACTCCATTATTTTTTATGTGACAGTGGGAAAAAAATGTTTGTTCACATTAAAAGATTACAAAGATATTTATTGCATAATGTTACAATAGAAAGTGCTTATCTACATGTTAAACATCATATATTAAGATCTGTATGCATCTATCAAAACAAAAACGGATATAAAAATATACATGTGTATGCTAAGAATGGAGACCGTTTTATTCTGTTTGACTGTATAACCTGATAAAAATAGGATCTTGCAATTTATAGATATATGCATAAACTTTATATTCGCACGACGCTTTTAATAATCAACATGTAATATATTTCAATGTATATATCTTTGAGTCTTCAAGGTACATAGATGTAAAATATATTAAACATTATTATTAATCTTCATTAGACGAATTTTAAAATTATGGATTCGCATAATGCCTTAACCGCTTTACATTGTAGATATACTTGTTATAAAAATATAAAAGAAAAAATAAAGAAAAAAATATATACATATGCATCACATTTTTCGTATAGGAAAGTAGCTAGTCATGGAATGTTGATCACCCTTTGTCTACCTAAGAATTTTTTAAATTTTCATTTTCATTTTCTTTTTTAAGTGCTCCATGCCTTGAAAGTCGCACTACCTCTTTTTTGTGGCACACAAAGGGGTCAAGGCAAACGTGTGAAAGTTTTTGGAATATAATCGTTATAAATAATATTAAATATAGTTACTGTACTTAGCAGTATAGTAGTAGTGAATATATTATATGTTTAAGTAGTTAAGAATTAATTAATTCATTAAGAATGCCTGTGTTTTAACAACTAAACGTTATGATTTGTTATCAAAGCGCCAATTACAATGATTTTCTAGTATAGTCTTTTAATGAATTATATCATGTTGTAACGTTTGCGCTCTTTCATTATTGTCCGTTAAAAATTTCTTTCATCGTTCGACGCCTACATATAGTATATTTCAAAAAGTTTGATTATATCGTATGCACAACATACATTAGGAGTACATAAAAAGCGATATAAAAGTATTAAAAAAAAAAAAAAAAAAAAAAAAAAAAAAAAAAAAAAAGAAAAAAACACTTGTTCCCTACTATATAGTTCTAGGAAACACTTATATGCAGTGTCAGGAGTTTGAAAGATGTGATAAAATGGATTCAGATCATTGGTGGCCCTAAAAACAATTACAGGACGAAATTAGCTATTAAATTTAAGCCTTTTGTATAAATTTATCATACAAATAAATAAATTGCTTTTTCATAAACGGTACGTCGTAATTTATAATAAATTGGCATTAAAAATGTTTCATATTTATTTAAAAATAACACAAAAGACATTCGTTTTGTCTGTCTCTACAAATAAGTATTTAATACAAATTTAATAATTAGATGATAGATAATTAGATAAATATATAAAAAAATAAAAAACTAATGTACATTTAAAAAATAAGATAAAATAAATCAAATAAATAAAAATATGATGTTCAATGAAATAGAATTTTAATAGTGCAAAAAGTGGTCTATAATAATAGTAATAATATCTACAATTCTTTGAATTAGTCGTATATTTAGTTGAAAATATTTAGACCAATTTTTATACTACTCAAGGAGAAAGAATAGCAAAATTAAACTGATGACTAACATGAAATAATATTTTCGAAAAGTAAAAATGATACAAAAAAATTCTTACTTCCGTAGACAGTACCTCGATGACGTCTGCGATACCATGGGCAGCAACTACAGCATAAACATGATACGCAAAGCATAATCAGTGAAAATAAAATGGAAAATACAATTATCCCTGTAAGGATGACCCTGCAACAAATAATTCATATTTAAGATAAACATTACAAATATAATTTCAATTCTTAAATTTCACATTCTCAAAAATGAATAAAAATACAAAATGATTATTATCGAAAAAATATATAACATTATACAGCATTTAGCAACATGGATGAAAAAGAATATCAAAAACATGAATCAAGTCTATTAATTAGATTATTTCATTATATGGCAAATAATTAAAAATAATTTTGAAGCCCCTAAATTTTTATACTAATACTATTATATAGTTATGATAATATTATTTTAATTGTATTAATATAAATTATATATTAATCAATATATTACGAAAATACAGTTGTATCAGAAGATAAGAAAAAAGTATGAGGAATTTTCAAAAAAGATTGATACAAAACTAACGAATGAATATTCTTTTCTCGATAAAAATTATTGCATATTTCTAAATATTAACAATTTTTGAAATATCCTATACACATTGTTACGTATTAAACATCCTGTCCAAGTTATTAACTTATACGAGCAATTAAAACAAAACCTTATATACACATACTTATTTATTTATAAATTATTTCAAGATTATTTTACGTTGAAATTGAACAAGACAGGAAAGGAATGATAAAACGAACAGATATTCGCGCCTAATTAATAAATTTATAATAATAAATTGTATAATTACAACAAACTATACTTGAATTTGATAATGAAGAAAAAATGTATTTTCAATTATTATTAACCTATTTTGCAGGTAAAATTACAGATTATATAATTAAAAATAGTATCTTTTTACCATGATGTGTTCATAAAAAACTCCATGGAATCACAACAATACACCTGACGATTTTGAATATTGTAACAACAATAAGATTTGTCGTAAGAATCAAGAAGTCCTGGACATGACTGGAATATTTTTAACAAAGTGTTTTGTGACTCGGAGCAATCCATTCCTAAAAATAAAATTAATTTCACTTTAATACATTTTTGAAAGTAGCTAAAAGAACATCTTTCCATTTGCTTCTTTTTTTTAATAATGATAAATAAGTAATAAAAATATTTTATCCAATTTCCAATTTTAATCCTTAACATTTTTATTTTCCCAAATCTTATCGAAAAATCTTGATTCTCAACTGAATTCTTGAACTATGTTTATGTACGAATAGCCCCTCTTAGGTCGTAGATTGACGGTGAGTTCGTCTTTAACAGTTGCTTGAATGATCGATACATCTGCGGTCACCATAAACCTAGGTCACTTTAAGACCTCTTTAGTTTGGGTCAGAGATAATCACATGTGCATTCATACTCTTAGAATAATATTATTTATGTAGATTAATTTTATTAAAATTTTATCAATTACATTGAGAGGGAAATATGTCACAAAGGTATTTCAGTGACTTGGGCGTCACCTCGATTATTAAGAAGTACCGGTTGGTAAACAATCGACGTTACAACTGGATGTTAAGAAACGGCAAATGGAGAAAATCAACTAACTATCTAGTCAACAACGATCAAGCAAGTAACCTTTGGTCCTTCGGTCGTCACAAATGCAAACCCTTGCAACTATAAGGGGAAAGGAAAAAGATAAAGAGAGAGAAGCACTGTAAATTCGTAAGAGGAAAAACAGACTGCGGGAGAAAGCAGAAATGGCGGGAAAAGGCCATGAAGTATAGAAAGTGAAGAGGTTAGCAGCTGTCAATCAGGCCCAGACAAAGCCTTGGGAGAAGCATTAGACAGGAAGTGAAATGAAAAGGACAATAGCTAAACCTCGTACGGGCCTGGTTACCAAATATGACAATCAGACTTAAGAGAAAATAAAGAAATGTGAAGAAAGGAAAGAAAGGAGGAACAGAAAATATCTGCAATCATTCACACACACTTCACTTTTATCCTTTAACAAAAATTAACCAATTATGAGTTAATGACAATATTTTCATTTATTATATTATTATTAATTTATTATATAATAAAATATTATACTTTTAGGATTTATAATTTAAAAAATCATGCGAATATCACGGCCGAATATATTAATACTTCCGTGCGAGAGTGTACTTCAATCAAAGTTACGTATAGCTATCAATAACTATACGAGATAAATTGGAGTTAGTCTTATCTTCTGAATAGGTTCATATGAAATTCGTCGCTACAATCAAGTACTGACTTTATTTCAGTGGTTGTGTATTTTAGTTTAACCATTGCATTCTACAGAATGTATACTATAGATAAAACAACTGTTTTGATATTAGTTTCCGTTCTTATATTACAAAGCAAACTTCAACTAAATTAAAGTTTTATATTATTTTAAAAGGGATAACATTCAGATAAGTGATTTATTAAAGAAAATGTATGTAATTATAACTCGAGCGTATATTATGTATACGATCGTGAATAATGTAAAAATAAATTCTGAAATTATGAAGTAATTTGTTAAAATTTTCGTATATTTCGTATGCATATTTAGATTAAGATTAAAAATCTTATTAATTTTGTTATAAAAGTTATATAATTTTTAACTCACATATCATTCAATTGATGGAATTCAATAAAATGGATTTCTCAAATTAATTAAATTTCGAAATTTTTAATACTTTTAGATAAATGCTTGTTCAGTTGGAACAAAGATTTTTGATATAACAAGGATAATAACAGTAAACAAACGCGAATAACGTTCGCATACATATTTCTGAGTCAACACGAGTATTCGCTATGCAGCTGCTTTGTTCGAGAACTAAGAGCAGTCGATATAACTGTTCACTATATTTTCTTAACTATTTCTTTGTCTCTGTATATACATAAATAAATAACAATAAAAAAATATAATGATAATAATTGTTCATTAACATAGCTACTTGTAGTAAAGTTATAATGAGATGGCGATATAATTCTATATTGTAAAATTATAGGAGATTTACAATGATAAAATGTAATTGCATTCGTAGTAACAAGAACTTAATATAGCATCGACAATACTCTACATTTACTCGATATATAGAAAGAGGTATACGAAAAGAGATATACAGAAAGATGTTCATTTGTTCTAATAGCAATTTATGGATGTGGCAACTGAGAATAAAATAAATAATAATTTCTCTCTGAGAATAAATATTTTTTGAGAGTCAACTATGAAAGGTATTACGTATTAAACGTAAGACAGATTATAAAAAAATGGAAAGATTGTAATGAATTAATCATCGTTACACGTGTTTAATTTGAGTAGGTTAGTTTGTATTGACATCATCATATTATTATAAAATATGAAATTCGTCACATTGAAGTCTTCAACTTACCATAAGATAATCCCGCGTTGAAGCAAGTAAGCAATAATAATGTGGTAACACGCGACATTTTAAACAATTTAAATTTCAAATCACAAACATATAATTTTTAGAAAACTGAATATCAAAATATTACACTGAAGTTAAAGCACGAATTAATTACACAACTAATAACTAAATGTAGGTTCAAATAACTCTTTCTAACATCGACCAAAATGCTGCAGGTTGTAGCCTATTAAATATAGCGTTAAATGTTGGTATAACTCAAAAGATGTCAGTCTCATCGCTTACGTCAGTCGATTATTGCCGAAGAAAGCCGATGAAAGTTGAACATGAATCACTCTTTTCGCGGTCAATTTCAATTCATCAAAGAAATCATGATTTAGTTATTAGAATATAGGATTATATTTACGATTCTTTCTTATGATAATATAAAAAATATAAATAAAAAATACAACTTTTCAAGTCTCTACGTTAGTATTGCACATAGTCCTTTTATTATTAATGCTATACATACAAAATTGTTAAGCAATGTTAATTATTAAATTATCTTGTCATTAATATGGTTATTAGCATTATTTCCTTAGCCAATAGTAAATTACTAATTGATAAGTAAAATTTACTTTAAAATTACATGTTTTCATTAATTGCATCACCAACAATTTTTGCCATTTCTTTCTCATACTGCAAAACAAAACTATGATGATAACCATGCTTACAAAGTTTTGCATTGATATAAGGATGTTTGGATTTTAAATCTTCATAATATTTAATTGGTGTCCAACCATCACAGTTGCCATAATAAAACCATAATTTATTTGCATATTTTGAAATTATATCATCATCTCGTTCTTTTATTATTTCCATTTCTTCTTTTGCCATTTTTATTACTCTTTTCAAACTGTCAGGATTTAACAGTTGAAGTATTGCATTACTGTTCTTTAATGGAATTCCATTTAATAGTTCATATATACTGATAAAAAAAATTTGCATAAAATGTGGGAGATATGAAAAAACCCAAGAAAGAAAAATGATAAAAGATGCAAATCGTGACATCTGAAAGAAATGCATATTATTTCATAGTTATTATTCCATTCTATTACAGAATATTACATTTTATCAGTAACAGAACTTACAATTTTGGTGAACAGCTGTCCATTAGTAGTTGTGTACATATTTTCTATGGTTGGAAACAACAGGTAACATTTTGTTACTTTTTTAACAATGAGATCATCTTTTAACATGTTCAAAACCAGCCAACTTCCTACCGAGTGACCAATAAGATGTAGCTTTGCATCTTCAGGTACATATTTTTTAATGAAATCTATCTATATTTAAATTATGGTAATTATTTTAGATTTTTTTACAGAACAATTAAATGTAATGAATAAAAAAAAAACCTTATGTTGTATTTGTGCCATTAAACTATAATGTTCATTCCAAGTTGAATTACTCGGCATAGTAATTGCCAAATTGTTTGGTGGTTGTATGTGACCCGCATGTCCAATCACCCAAATAGGTACTTCGCTTGGTAATCTTAATTTTAACATTTTTATAAATCCTCCATAAAATTCTGCTATTCCAGGATTACCAGTAATGACAATAATTACATCCTTTCTACCAAACTCTGCAAGACCTTCTTCTACCCAACGACCTTCTGTAACCACTTGAGTAGGTACATCATTCCATTTTAACATAGCACGCTGCATAATGATTCCTTGCTGTAACAACATTTTTAATATATTTGTATTATATTATTATGTTATTTACATTATAATTAATAATATTCAAGATATGAATAGGATGAATAACCTTATTTAGGATTTAATAACCTTATTTAGAAGAAACTTAAATAAAAAGTTTAGTGGTAGTAACTAATCACGTAAAATTTATATTTTTATTTTAAAATGTATATATAGTGATAATTAATAAGTAGTTATTAATTTATCAAGGACCGATAAATTTAGCGGAAAATTATGCGAACAGACTTTATACACGCGTTGAACTATATAGACTCTCATAGTAAATTTGCATAACAAATATTTTTTGTAATTACAAACATTATATAATATTATGACATCAAGGAAACTTATAAACATTTTTTAATTTATAAATATTATCATCAAAATATAAATTATATTTTAACATCATATAAAATCAATCCTTAGAAGAAATACTTCCTCATATTAACAAGTTCAATTGAAGAAGTTACAGACTGGAATCTTCGATATCATCCGCGGTTCAATTCCTACTTCCGTTAGAATTTTTATTTTTTTTTTATTTCTATAAATATAGCCGAAGTATAATTGTTTTTACATGAAACTAAATATGTTAAAGTTTTTTTACAATAATTTTTATATTAATTACTTTTATTCTAGCTACTACAATAAAATATACATTCATTTTTTATTTTTAATATTGTCTTATTAATACGTTTTTAAATTTTTATTTCATCATTATTTTTATTAAAATTATTTAAAATGAAACATGAAATATTTATTTTACATACAATATTTACTTTCACTAAAATGAAATATTTATGAAAAAAATTCTAATTTATTAAAATTTTAAAAAATTTCAAAAGAAATTAGTAATTGATTTATTGATTAAATTAACAATTTGTTAAATGCATTTATAAAAGATTTACTTAATTCTTTATTTCGTTTTTGCAGCTATCAATAAAATAAATTTAATAATTTCATTAAATTGAAAAGTTGTTTCAATACATAGGCACAGATACGTGCCTTAAGAAGAGCAAGATGTACTAATTTAATTCATTTACAGAGCTAAATGTAATAAAATATTACAAATTCATAAATTACATAATTCATCCTAAAGATGTGTTTTAACTATTTCCTCTGTAAGAATTATTTTAATTATTTAGTATATATGCCTATAAAAATTCGTATAAAATAAAAAACACGCAAGTTACCTCTCGATCACATATCGATTTTCGAATTCGTTAGTTAAATAAAGTTGTCCGCTTAAAATATTGCAAAGGTGCGAGTTGTCAGGTTATAGCCTAAATAATTTCATTTTAATATACAAATTCATTATAAATCTCGATAGGCGGCAAAAGTTAGTGGGCCGCCATTTTGGTAGCTCCCCTGGTAGCATATTTCCCACGGTGCATTGCGACAGCGGTAGACGCGGCAATAGCTGCTCCAGGAGAATCAAATGGGAGTGAGGAAGAGCGAGACAGAAAGCTAAAGTGGTGGGAGTGAGAAAGGTAGAAATGAAGAATGAAAGATAGAGAGAGAGAAGAAGAGAGAAAGCCGCGCAGCAAGGCAGCATGTACGAAAGAGAAACAAGGATAAAGAGAGAAGAGTCACGTTGGGTTGTATCACTGATTCCGGCTGGTGGAAAGATGGCGGAGGGTAATTCGAACACGCGTCATATAGCCGTGTACGCCGCGCATGCGCAAAACAGGTACGTGTGACTGCGATGGTGTCGGTAGGCGGAGCGGCATCCAGAACTAACTTGTACCGGGTGGTACCGCATCACTGTCAGCAAAAACCGCATAAAACGGCACCATTCGCTTCTCTGGTGTACCGATGCAGGAGGGGGTTCGAATTGCTCGTGGGGCAGGACGGAAGTTCAAGGCAGTCGTGGCGCCACAGGGACGCACGGGGAAGCGCCATGCTGACGATGACGCGCACGCACTTCTAGGTAATCGGATGACCGTTCTTCCGAACCATTTTATTTTCCTAACTGGCCAACATGTCTTAAATTCAATCTATGCTACATAATTTCGTTACTGTACTTACTTTGCCTTTTTTTGTTTTTTAGGTATTAGTTTGAATTTCTAAACGATAATTGGAGACACTAAGGATCGTCGTATTTGATAGATTTCTGATCATCATTCAATCAAGGAATAAGTAAGAGATGCGAAAATGATCTTCTTTGTAATTCTATCCAGCATTGTAAAGATATACATGATATTACGTTCGGTAAAATGTTATAATTGAAACTATTAGTAGACTATAAAGGTACATACTTTAAGGTTCAGTTATTACCGGGAATGACATTTGTATTATTACAGTTCAATGTGTTCGAAGAGTTATGTATTTATTACATAATAGATTTGAGAGCGTATCAAGCTTTATAAAGTTTCATTGCATTGTTAGATCTTGCTAAGATCTAGCTAGAAACAGATTAAAGTGTTTTGAGCAATGTCTCTGTTATTTCCAACGTACGTAATAACGTAACAGTGATATTCAGTAAATAATTTCTAAGATTAAATTTTATATTTCATGTCGCAAGTAGAAGGAATTCAAACTTCTAAAAGAAATTTAAACTTCAAAAATGTTATTTCTTTTTATGTTATAAATTACTATTACAGTTATATAATATATATATATATATATATATATATATATATATATATATAATATATACATATAATACTTATATGATATAAACATATATGTATAACTTTCAAGGGTTTCTTCGTAGAATTGTCTGCCCACTGATACGAATTTTTGAACAATTTGATTATAAATATATATTAATTAATAATATTTGTAGCATATGTATTTAATACTACTTAAAGAATTGGTTAAATACAGGTGTTATAATACTTAGGGTATCGTTATATATCCTCATTACCAAATATTAGCGTAAATATGCAATTTTAGTATTTTAAGTTATGATTTTGGACTTTGTTATGTCATAATAATTAGCATTTGCAGTGTATTATATGGCAATTGACTGCATTGTTAGAATTTTATACTGTTATTATTGTATTATGTATTTTAACGAGATATTTTAGGACTAAATTCAGAAGAATATAATTTATTTATGTCAAAAGAAAGTGATTTAGATCAATTTATATCTACACAACTCTTTAAACAACCTTATCATAAACCTTTCATTCGTTCCATCAATCATGTGTTATCTAGATATTGAGATACCATAAGTTATTTACAAAAAGTTTTATAATATTTGTTTTGATGAAAAATTTATACTAACACTTGGAAAAGAATGTTTTACAGCTGATAAGTAGGGGGATATTTATGTATATTGTTTTCAACGATTTGATTTTCGCTATATATATATTGTAAACTTATTGCATAATAATAATTTATAAAAATTGAATTATACTTAATAGTTAAATCTTGTAAGAAATATATACCTTCCTTTTGAAAAAACAGGGGCGTGTCTTAATGTCTCGAAGTTATAAATGTGTTTAAATATCTTATCGTTAACAAATAATTATCTTATCTAGAAATAATGTGTAATTTATATTGATTAAAACAACCGAGAACAGAAGTTTTGATAATTCAAAAGGATAAATTAAATATTATGGTAAACTAAATGTAGTGACATTATTGCATATTATGTGTGTACCTTATATAACACCTTAGATATCTTATTAAGTGATAAGGTCATTTGTATATAATTCTACAACTTCTATAATCTACGTATAACATTCAATAGTACTCAATATGTATACAATTGCAATAGTCTGTAATATTGCAATAATCTTGGAAAATCATATGAGTTTATATGTCTGATTTAAAAATTGTATGTAAACAAATTTTCTTATTATATGTTGTATCATGAAAAGGAATTATATCTGTTTGATTAATTTATCACAGTCATAGTTCGTTCTTTATCTTATTGCTTTCATAGCCATTAGTTTCCAATATAGCAAAATTACGTTACAATTTTCCACTGTGAAATAGAATCATGAAATTTTGTAAAATACTAAGTTCTGACATTCAACGTTATAAAATACGGTATCTTCTTACACCAAGTTTGTGAACGTTAGAAATATAATATTACATTTCTGTTTCCTAATCCAGAGAATAAAGATGTCAAAGAAAGATCAAAGGGAGTATTTAAACATAATGTGTAACGTGTTTATCGTAAAAGGAATTTATCTGTGTTTATTTACTGTATCCCCATCCATAGCGATAAAAGATAATTTATTCGAACATTCATTCTTTATTTTCTAAATTATGTTGCTTTCATGAATTTTATGTTAAATCCATTTCTTTGAATATTTAAAATGTCTTTAAGATTTTAATTTATTTTATTTTTATTTCATTTTATTTATAATTGGCATTCTAACTAATTAATTCGATATTAAATATGAGTTTCTTCAGATAAGGTATACTTCGGAAAAGCGCGGGAAAATATTCAAGTTGTGTCGATGCACTTCAGAAGTGTCCTTGTAAAGTCCCGAAAAAAAGAGGTGCGACCAAAGGAGGTGTGAACGGAGTCGAGGGCGTGGTAGTGGGCGTGGTCTTTGAAACGTCCACTACCCTTCTAGGCGTTTCGCCAGTTAGCTGTTAAGCACGGTAGTGGGGGTGACGGCATCGAACCCCGCTAGCTGCAGTCACAATTCAACCGCTCGATGGTGAGCATGTTACAATGTGCCGCGTTACGGGTGGATCTCTTTTTACCGGAAACGAAGAAGATTATTTATCCGTCGATTGAATTTTGACATACAAGTGATATTTTGAAACCAGCTATATCTCTTTCTACTTATTCGGAAACATCGTCCAGTGAAAATTTTCTTCGTGAGTGATTGAACGAACTGTGAACGCGTCGACAAAACTTCGTTTAACAAAATGCAAGTATGTTGAACGTTGGAAAAAATGGTTCGTACGTTAATTGCTTATAAAGTGAATTATTGTGCGTGTTTGAAAAATTGTCGAGTTTCCAGTCGGATGTAAGGAGAAACGTTTAGTTTGTTAGGTTGCACAGCTTTAAGCCGGCCGGCGCCCGCATTAAAGGGAATATAACCGAAGCGTATAAGTCAGGGGCTCCGTTTTGACTATCGTTGTGCCGTGATTTTTGTCTAGTTCCAATCGATCGATCGATTCTTTATATCGAATTATCGGAGATTGACTTCG